ATGAGGAAGAATGGATTTTACTGTTGGTTGGGGGTTATATTGAAGTTAAAAATTTATTTTTTTCTTTTTTGGGGTGTTTTTAACAATTAAAATAGAGCAAAGACGCGCTCAATTGCGTTGTCTAAGACGCGCTGCTGACCAAGGCTTATGAGGGAGTAAATAAATACAATTGTTTTAACAATAGTGGGGTGTTAGAACACCCGTAAAGTTTATGTGTGTAAATAATTTTTCATGACAAGTTGAATGGGGTCTTTATGCATTTTCTCTTTAGACTTCATGCATTTGGATGTAGCTGACTACTTTGCACTCCCGGAAGGAGAAACAAGTCATGTGATCAGTAATGAATCTGTAGAAATGTAAATATTCTATTTTTTATTGTTTGTAATAGATAGTATGGTTATGTAATTGTTGTATATAATAAAAGTTGTGCTTTGATAATGATGTTTACTATCATATTTATTTTGTTTATATCATTTTGAAGAATATGGATAATCCTCAAATTATGTTTGGATCAAAGATCAATCATGAAGATATTTGTGTAATTGATAGTGGAACAACTCATGCCATATCAAAGATCAAAAATACTTTTTTTTATTTGCATAAGGAAAAAGCAAATGTTTTAAAATTTTCTGCTAATATAAGTTTGATTGAAGACTCCGAAATATCCATTATATTTTTATTTAATGGAACAAAACTTATTATAGACAATGCATTATTCTCTTCCAAATTTCGAAGAAACTTGTTGAGTTTTATAGATATCTGCCGAAATGAGTATCATGTTGAGACGATAGATGAAATGGATATGGAATATCTTTGTATTACAAAGAATGTTTCTAGCCAGAAGTGCATTTTAGAAAAGCTACCAACTGGCTTATACTATTCAAAGATTAGTACAGTTGAAGCACACTTTATCGTAAACCAGAAGTTTACCGATTCAAATATTTTTGTGCTTTGGCATGGCCGTTTGGGCCATCTTGGGTCAATAATGATGAGATAAATTACTGAAAATTCAAGTGGGCATCCATTAAAGAACCTGAAGATTCTTACAAATAATGAATTTTCTTGTGATGCTTATTATCACGGCGAAATGATCACTAGACCATCACCAATGAAAGTTGGCATTGAATCACCTGCCTTTTTATAACGTATACATGGGGATATAAGTGGACCTATTCACCCACCAAGTGGGCTGTTTAGATATTTTATGGTCCTAATAGATGCATCTTCAATATGGTCTCATGTGTGCCTACTATCATCTCGCAACTTGGCGTTTGCAAAACTATTAGCCCAAATAATTCGATTAAGGGAACAATTCCCAGATTATCGTATAAAGGCTATTCTCCTTGATAATGCTGGATATCCTGTAGCTTATGTTCATACTCAATATGGACTTGTATAGTCATTTATTAAACGTCTGCAATTGATAGCAAGACCACTACTTATGAAAACAAAATTACCGACTGCTGTTTGGGGCCATGCTATCTTGCATGCAACATCACTTATCCATCTCAGATTGACACATTATAATAATTAATGTTCTCCGTCACAATTAGTTTTTGGTCATGAACCAAATATTGCCCATCTACGAATTTTTAGATGTGTTGTATATGTGCCAGTAGCACCACCATTGTGCAGTAAGATGGGACTACACAGAAGGATAGGAATATATATTGGGTTTGAATCACCCTCTTTTAATCGCTATCTAGAACCATTGATCGAAGATTTATTTACTGCTCGATTTGCAGATTGTCAGTTTGATGAAATAAATTTTCCACAATTAGGGGGAGAGAAAAAGGAAACTAAAAGAGAAATTGTGTGAAAAGTTTTATCATTATCTCATTTTGATCCACATACCCCTATATGTAATCAGGAGGTCCAGAAGATCATTCATATACAAAATATAGATAATCAAATGACAGACACATTTACTAATTTAAAAAGGATAACTAAGTCATATATCCCTGCAGAGAATATGCCTATCTGAATTGATGTCCCAGCAGAACCATCTACTAGCATGAGAGCTAGTGAACCTAGAGCATGCGTGAAGCGTGGTAGGACTTCGGGTTCTAAGGATCAAAATCCTCGAAAAAGAAAATCGATAAATAATCAAAACGTTACTACGAGGGATCTCTTGAAGAGACCCAAGATTTGATTAGTTCTGAGATTCCTGAAGAAAACAATGAACTTGAAGCTCAAGTGAGTGAGGAACTTTTAATAAGTTTTATCGGTGATGGGATTAATTTAAATCGATCTGAAATAGTGGTGGATAATATTTTTGCATATAATATTGCACTTAATATTATGCAACATAGTGAGGATCTTGAACCCCGATCTATCAAAGAATGTCGACAGAGATCTGATTGGTCAAAATGGCAAGAGGCAATACAATCAGAATTGAACGTGCTTGCTAAAAGAGAGGTCTTTGGACCAGTAGTCCAAACGCATGTTGGTATGAAATCAGTTGGTCATAAATGGATTTTTGTGCGAAAAAGGAATGATAAAAATGAAATTTAAAGATACAAAGCTCGCCTTGTTGCACAAGGATTCTCACAACGACCTGGAGTCGATTTTGATGAAACATATTCACCTGTTATGGTTGCCATAACATTTCGATATCTCATCAGTTTAGCACAACATGAAAAGTTTGAGATACATCTAATGGATGTAGTTACAACTTATCTATATTGTTCACTTGATAATGAAATTTTATGAAAATTCCTGAAGGATTTAAAATGCCTGAAGCAAATTTAAAGTCTTAGGAAATATATTCAATCAGTTTACAAAGATCTTTGTACGGTTTAAAGCAATCTGGGCGCATATGGTATAATCGCCTTAGTGAATATTCGCTGAAAGAGGGTTACATAAATAATGTTATTTGTCCATGTATTTTTATAAAGAAAATGGCATCATAATTTGTTATAATTTCATTTTATGTTGATGACATAAATCTTGTTAGAACTCCAAAAGAGCTCCAAAAGACAATCGAATATCTTAAGAAATAATTTGAGATGAAAGATCTTGGAAAGACAAAACTTTATCTTGGTCTGCAAATTGAACATTTAGCAGACGAGATCTTTATCCATTAATCTGCCTATACAGAAAGGGTCATAAAACGCTTTTACATAATCGCATCCATTAATTACACTAATGGTTGTTCGATTACTTGAAGTGAATAAGGATCTATTCCGACCTCCAGAAGAGGATGAGGAACTCCTTCATCCTGAAATACCTTATCTTAGTGCAATTGGTGCACTTATGTATCTTGCTAATGCTACAAGGCCCGACATAGCATTTTCTGTTAATTTACTAGCAAGATATAACTCCTCTCCTACACGGAGATATTGGAACGAGATTAAGCATATATTGCGATATTTAAAGGGTAACTCTTGATAGGGGTTTATTTTATGCTAACAAAGGTAGTGAAGATCTTGTTGGTTATGCAGATGCAGATTATTTATCTTATCTACATAAAGCTCAATCTCAAATCGGGTACGTGTTTACATATGGATGTATTGTCATATCATGGCGTTCCACAAAGCAATTATTGTTGCTACTTCTTCAAATTATGCTGAGATAATAGATATTCATGAAACAAGTAGGGAATGCGTATGGTTGAGATTAGTGATTCATTTTATTCAAGAAAAATGTAGTTTGGAATGTGATAAAAGATCCAAAATTTTATGCGAAGACAATTCTGCATGCATAGCCCATTTAAATGGAGGATTTATAAAAGGAGATAGAACGAAGCACATTTTACCAAAATTATTCTACACACATGATTTTCAGAAAAATTGTGACATTGATATGCAACAAACCGTTCAAGTGACATTCCAGCAGATTTATTCACTAAATCTTTTCCAACTTCAACTTTTGAGAAAATGGTATACAAAATTACAATACGGAAACTCAAATATTTGAAACAAGATTTTTATCGGGGGGNAGGGGGAGTAAAATACACGCTATACTCTTTTTCCCTTACTAAGGTTTTTCCCACAGGATTTTCCTTATAAGGTTTTTAATGAGACAAGTAGTTATGCGTATTACCAAATATGTGTACTCTTTTTCCTTCACTAGGATTTTTTTTTCCACGAGGTTTTTCCAAGCAAGATTTTAATGAGGCACATTATCTTTTAATGAACATTCAAGTGGGAGCGTTAAAAATATATTATATTATGGATGTTCATTTAGTAATCAGTTATAAAAAAGATTATCCATGTGGGACTCCACCGTAAATATGTTTATCTCTTTAGTAATCTGTTGGAAATAAGACTTTTGAAGAAGCTTATCACTTCGGTACTCCGTTATGGATAAACATTACCCTCGGTAGAAGATTATCCATACATGGTACAATAAGTTTATCCTTTCGATACTCCGTAATGGATAAATATACCACTAGTAGAAGATTATTCATACCTACTACAATAAGCTTATCCTTTTGGTACTCCATTATGGATAAACATTACCACCGGTAAAAGATTATCATACCTGATACAATAAACTTATTCTTTCGGGACTCCGTTATGGATAAACATTACCCCCAACAGAAAATTATCTATATCTGGTACAGTAGCAGCTTACACAACAACTTCCTTTCTTCTATAAATAAAGGAGATTTAAGTTCATTATGTACATCAGTTTGAAGTTGAATAATGCATCAATTTCTCTCTATACTCGTCTTTACTTTACGGTCTTTATTTTATAACAGCTCAAGCATTTTCCTATTGTTTAAAGTACCTAATATTGCCCCCTGTTGTAAGTTTATGTTTCGTTCAGGCTGTATATTTGAAACCGGAAAAAAAAAACGCAGCCACAATGGAGGCGATGGTAAACTGCTTCAGTTATCAATGGGCACTTGCAGCTCTCTCTCGTGTAATAGAGAGGGAAAAAAGTTTAAAAACAGAAAGAGTCAAAACTTATGTGAGAGGAAGAAAAAACAATCAGCATTCTAAAATTAGCTGGGAAGGAATACGTAAAACTAAAAATGATAGGAAGCACCACGGTTACAGTTAAATTGGCACATGCTTCACATGCAATCAGATGATATTAGATAGGTTATCGAATCAGGTCAGGCTTTCCGCGTTCATAATGTATGTATATGTTAACAAGCACGGAAAAGAAAAACAAACATTTTGCGTCCAGATGGCCAGAACTGAATAAGAATGCAGAGAATTGTAGACGCAGCACAGCTTAAAACAAGTAACAGCACAAGTCAATATCACAATAATCAAGACTGCAACAAATACAGATTCGTCTTTGCAATGAGCAAGTTCCGGTTTCTCCTGCCCCATGTCATCTGATCTTCTTCAATTTGCACTGAAAATCAATCAGACAACCACTTCATAAACTTATAGAGACAGCTCCTAAATCAGCAACTATATTCTAGAAACATATAGATAGTATGTTCTGAAGCAGATGCACAGAAACTTTGCAGTAAATAGTACCAATTTTAAAGCAGATGCGCAGAAACTTTTGCTCGGTCCAGTAGTGTCCAAGTGCTTTATAGTTGTACACTTGTACTAGACCTAGAGACCACAAGACAAGCTAAGATTCTAAGAGGCGTGAAGGAAACCTGACCCTAAAGCCCATGTTTACATCTTACAGTCAGGGATCATCACAAAAGAGAACATTAAAGTTCCTGCAGCACATTTAAAGATTGTGATCCATTACTTAAAAAGACTATTTGCAGCTCAATATATCTGAAGATTTTCATGTTACGTCATTGATATGTTGTACTATTAATGTTTTCACTTTCATAAGATACAAGAAAAAGGCAGATAGAGGTAAGGAGAATGTGAATGAATACACTAGACTTGGAATCCCAAAATAAGAAAACAAATAGGCAAGATAACCATGATATTAGTACCATATCTTGTATCTCTCTAGGTCATTATGAAGAAACAGATCAAGCTCTCACTGGCGAAAGGGTGAACGATTATTCTGAGCATTTAACAATACAGGGGACACACTAATGATTCCAAAAATTAGGGGATGCAAGCAAGGAACCGTACTTTTTGCAGAAAACAAGGGAATTTGCTTCTTCATTATGGAAATAAAATAAAACATAATTGATGCAACTCTAGGCAATAGGTATAGAGACAAAGTCTAACCTCAATGTGAATTGTAGACTTGGGAACTCAACCAACCATTGTGCGCTTTCGGCCTCTTTGCCTCACTGAAAAAGATCACAAAATAGAATGGAAAAACAGCAAGAAACCTTCAGAAGTAGAAGCTTATTATCTTTTCTTGCTGGGAATAAGGTAATAAACAGAAAGGAATATGGAAGAAGACTTGGTAGCACCTTGGGCTAGCTTGTTAAAGGTTGACGACCACTGCTTTGAGGATTTCTTGTATCCAGCAAGTATCTGGTCCATCTGTTCAAACCAAATAAATTATAGCAGATGAATTTGATACTCATTATAGGTTGAAGTCCTACCGCTTTGCTACAGACTAAAAATAAAACCACTATCTACAAGCTTCTGGAAAAAGAGATTAACAAGGCGGTATATCCAATGCCCTTCTCCCACCGTGGCTCATGGCCATAACGAGGTTCCTTCCCAACCACAAGAAAGATATAGTTCGACTATCCTAATTAGGAGCAGCTTAATCCTTAACAAGGTTTTGCTTTTTATCAGTAAGGAAATCCATCAGAAGCTCAAATATATCAAAAAAGAACATTGAGAGAAGTAAGAGAACTGTTTACTAATGCCACCAGAAAATACTGCTTTTAAAAAGGTGCATGTTTCGTGAGATAATATGATCGCTTGACATAAATGATAAATAATGTCCAAAGGCGAAAGAAAAGTAAATTCAATTAGTAACATTCCCTTGAGATATTACAGCGGATTTTGCTTGTGTTTTTTTCAATTAAAAATCATATAGGAATTTCTTACAAAAGGAGTGAATTTATTGGATTAGTTTTCGTCCTTTTTTACTCTGCAACATGGATTCTACTATTATTAGAGAGGAATAATGTAAAAAGGAGAAATAAATTATGATTTAGAGGGGCACAGAAAAGAGGAAAAAGCTTAAGGCTTTATACATGCCTCTAACCCACAACACAATAGATAGGACAGAGCTTACCACATTCCCGCAAGAAGAGTGCATAGAGAGCAAAGCACGTTCAAGTACATATAAATCAACTGCTTTATCTTCTGGAAGTGTTGAAGTAAAGCTTAGACCAAAGTCAATCAGCACCTGAAGAAAAAGCATCATTTACAGAAACTATCTCACTGAAGGTGATTGCATAACCTCATCCTCTAAAACCAGGAGAAGACATAAAGAAAGAAATTGAAGAAAAAGATGACCATGAGAATTAAGAGGAATATTCTAAGGGAAAGAGAAAAATATCCACCAGCTGATTGGCAGCACTCCTCATTAACATGTTTGATGTTGTCAAATCGCCATGGACTAGGCCACCATCATGTAATTTGCCAATAGCATTACCAATCTGTGTTGCAATATCAGTCATCTGCTCTTCGTCCACACCAACTAATCCAAAGCCAAGGAATATATCTTTCACAGAAGGACCTTCAACATATTCAAAGGTGAGAGTATGCGTAACAGGGTCAACAGCATAAAGCACTGGAGTAGTAACACCAAGCCGTCTAGCTTTTGTCATGCACCTTGCCTCCTGCACCAGAATTTCCAAAATTTTTGGCAACACAAGCTTTAAGAAAGATAAGAGAGAATAGGTATATTTACACCAACCGCATTCAACCGTTTAGTAGTGAGCTTTGAATCCAAAGTCGGATGCCTGTATTTCTTTGAAAACCGTTCCTTGACAATACACCTCCTACCCACAAATGTTGACTCAAATACCCTCTGATATCAACAGAGAAAAAATCCCAGAGTCAAAAACTACTTGCTAGCAAATGACCATTGCTAGAGAGCACATAATGATTAGTGACTTCTAAACTAACAGAACACACTCACAAAGGTCTGGGAAGAAAATGAGAGAGAGAGAGAGAGAGACGAAAAAATTAGAGGAAAGTTTCATAGCAACAGAGTCTTGAATAATTAATTATGAACTCACAGCCTCAGCTCCTTGCTTGATTAAAACCAAGGATCCGTCACTTCCGTCTGCCTTGAGTTCCATATCTATGAGATCAACTAACTTCAAGCAAAAAATAAATAAACAAATAAGTAAAATGAAAAGGATAACCAAAATTTTAGCCTTATATAGAACAGTTTCTGTAGCTCTTCCACAATTCAAGTACTAAGTGAAGCTTTCATGGAAAAAGGATGATTAACAAGAAGATATTCTGCCATTTCTGTATACAACATTGGCTACAAACAACAGGATCTATCGAGACTAAAATAAGCAATGATAAACTCTGATTACAGTAAATAAACCTTCATCCAACAATCTCCACCTTAAAGAAGAGTGAGGAGAAGCATCTCTATATTTTGGCAAAGTATTTCCACTAACATGGAAATAACTAACAACTAATCAACTGGGTGTTCACATAGACTGATATTCTTTAGAAAAATGGCATTAATATTTAACCAGTAACACCAACTTTTTTCATTTTGTTCATACCTGTAGTACTAGTACGTACTCTCGTATTTTGTTGGTATTAGGTTTTCTATGACTACCCGTCGTTTCTTTCATTTAGGTCATCTTACGATCTTGTTTTTAAGTATGTTGTTTTTCCATGACTTTTCAATGTTGTCCCATCTTATTTTTTCTTTTCATTAATGTGGTGCTTATGCTTTCCTGAGCCGATGGTCTACTGGAAACAACCTTTCTATCTCCGCAAGGTAAGGGTAAGGTTTGCGTACACGCTACCCTCCCCAGACCCCGTCACGTAGGACACTGGGTATGCTGCTGTTGTTGTTATATGAAATAGAGACTGAGCTACAATTATGCTTGAAATAGAGGGAAACTATTTCTCTTGAAGTATTCTTACTGTAGCTAAAAGAAAGCTTCAATTTTTATAAGTATAAAACCCAATTAGTAGCATTCTGGGCATCATAGTAGCAGTATCTGCAGAATTTGGAGACATAAACACGAAGCCGGAGAGCAAAAAAATTATACTCTCACCAAAAATTATGAAAAATTAAAAGAACCTCAGTAATATTTAAGGAAAGCTTATTCGTAATCGTCACACCCAGAAATGAATAATGAAAACTGGAGAGAAATTTGTGAGTATTTAAGGGAATAAAAGACACCTTTTTGCAGTTGAAGATTAGCAGCGTCGCCGCCGTAAGAGATAGCTGCTGTGAGAAAATTGTCGTATCTCGGACGGTGAGTTATAGAATTTTCTGGATATATGCGATATACAAGTCGCATTAGAACATCGTGCTTTATATGTTGCATTTACCAATTGGGATTTATATGTTGCATTTATCCAATCCGACCAATTTGCTTTTCGCACGCCCATTAAATAAATACTAAATTCGATACAAAAAACTAAATTATCATTAATTAAATATTTAATGTAAAGAGTAAGAAAACGTTTTAGGGATACGTACATAAGGGTAATTTTGTAAAAATAAATTGAATTCTTTCTTGATTATATAAATGCACACTTATTTTGGACCAAAATAAAAAAGTAAATTGGTCACTTATTGTGGACCCGAGGAAGTACAATTTATAAGTCTTATTACTATATGGTGAGTTATAAGTCGGCAGTCGATTCCATTATTGCGATGTATAAATGAGATTTATTCGTCGATTTGTAAATTGCGATTTATGAGCGCACTTCTCACTTTATAAGTTTATAAATATTTTTAAAATGCAACTTTTGCATGGTTTTGAAGTTCTGTCTAAAATTTGCCAGTTTCGAGTGAAGAAGAACGACGACGAAGTTGGGTTTAAGGTTAAGCGTAATTAGAAATTTGGTCGATTATAGAGTAATAAGTTTGTCCCTGAACTTCAATTGTTGTTCCTTTTCCGCAAAGCATTCATGACGAGCTGTTAACACTTAACATAAAGGTACCAATTGATAATCCTTGGAGTAGTTTGGGGATAAGATTATAAGTGATGAAAACTTAGGGTCCACCAAACTGCAGTTCTCATAGAACACACACAATCAAAGATAAGTAAAAGTGGAAAACTCTCAACTCACGGGATTAAAAACCACGACCTACACTTGTAGAATTTCAACTTCACTAACTGAGCAAACTTCATATTACAAAGTATTATAACCTAGGAATTAACTTAATCCTTCGCCAACTCGTAATAACTCTATTACAAAGCTCACAACTCGACTAACTCTAGCCAAGACAAAAACACAAGGTTTATGGTTTTACAGATGGTTTCCTCCACAATGCTTCTAGCTAAGCTAAGTCAGAATTACAAATAGATCACTCTAACAAAGGTATGACAAAACTAAGGACATATGGTAACACAATGTTGGAAACTGGTCCTTCGTTCTGTTGTTCTTTATTCTTGAAGTCACTTGCAAGATGGCAGCACACTTGAGAGTGAAACTTGATAATTTTTTAATCTTCAAGTGTGTGTTTTTCCTTGCTACATGTTGGTAATATACAAGTGATTCTGGTCATGCTCCATAAAGTGACTACTGCACTATTTTCACTGTTGCGTGTGTGTAGAGAAATAGTGTTGCGACTTTACAGCTGTGGGAAGTTGACTTGCACTGTCAGTAAGGAATCTAATATCCATAGCTGGTCAAACAAATCATCAATACGAGGCAAAGGATAATGGTTCTTCACAGTAACTTTGTTCAACTGGCAATAATTAATACACATACGCGTAGAACCATCCTTCTTCTTCACAAACAAGACAGGAGCACCCCAAGGTGATACACTGGGCCGAATAAAACCCTTATCAAGCAATTCCTATAACTGCTCCTTCAACTCAGGAGGAGCCATACGATACAGGGGAATAGAAATGGGTTGAGTGCCTGGCAACAGATCAATGCCAAAATCAATATCTCTATCAGGCGGCATGCCCGGAAGATCAGCTGGAAAAACATCAGAAAAATCCCGTACTATTGGGACTAAATCAATTGTAGGGGTATCAATACTGACGTCTCTCACATAAGCTAGATACGCGTCACACCCCTTCTCAACCATACGTTGAGCCTTAAGGAATGACATAACTCTACTGGAAGTATGATCTAAGGTACCCCTCTACTGTACTCGCGGTACATCTGGCATAGCCAGCATCACAGTTTTGGCGTGACAATCAAGAGTACCATAATGGGGAGGCAACCAGTTCATGCCCAAGATAACATCAAAATCTACCATGCTGAGCAATAATAAATCAGCTTTGGTCTCAAAACCACTAAGAGCAATCAGACACAACCGATAAACGCGGTCCACAATAAGAGAATCTCCCACAGGAGTAGAAACATAAATATGGGAACTTAAAGAATCCCGATATACACCCGAATGCGGGGCAAAATAAGAAAACACATAAGAATAGGTGAAGCATGGATCGAATAAAACTGATTCATCTCTATGACAAACCAGGACAATACTTGTGATGACAGAATCGGAGGCGACAGCCTCGGTACAGGTAGGAAGGGCATAATATCTGGCCCGGCCTCCCCCTCTAGGGCAACCTCTACCTCCCCAACCTCCACCTCTAGCTGGCTGAGCAGGTGGGGTAGCAACTGGTGCTATAACCATAGCCTGAGAACCCTGTGGGGCACGTTGTGGCTGAGAAGTCTGTGGAGGTACACCCCTCCTAAGTCTGGGGCAATCCCTCACCATATAGCGTGTGTCACCACACTCAAAACAAGCTCTGGTAGGACGTAGCAGATGTGACTGGCTCAGGCTAGGTCTGCTGGACTGACCATTAAAAGCACCCCGCGTAGGAGGCGCACTAGATACTAGAGGTGCATAATAAGGCTCCTGAGGCCTAGGAGGAGCTGGAATACCACTGGCTGCTGGAAGAGCTGAATGAACTGGGTGACTCATATAACCCCTACCATGACGAACTACAGCTGGAGCACGGGCACCAGAATAATGGCCCGACTCTCGAGACCTCTTAGCCTCCCTCTCTTCTCTATCCCGAGCATACATACTCTCTATCCTCCTAGCAATGCTCACCACATGCTGATAAGAAATATCCATCTCCAACTCACGAGCCATGATAGACCTGATGCTGGGAATAAGGCCCTCAATAAATCGGCAAACCCTCTCATAAACAGTAGAAACCAAAACTGGTGCATGTCTAGCCAAGCTAGTGTAACAGACAGCATACTCCGAGACAATTATAGTACCCTGGCGCAAATGCACAAACTCTGTGTGCCATGTATCCTTGAGGCTCTGAGGAACATACTCTCTCAGGAACATATCTGAAAACCGAGTCCAAGTCAGGGAAGCTGCCTCATCTGGACTGTCTAACTCATAAGTACGCCACCACTCATAGGCGGCTCCTCGAAGCTGGAAGGTAGTGAAGGAAATCTTGCTCGAACCTGATATACCCATGGTACGGAGGATACGGTAGCACTCATCTGGAAATCCCAGAGCATCGTCTGATGCTTGACCACTGAATACAGGAGGCTTGTACTTCTTGAACCTCTCAAGCCTCAACTGCTCATCCTCGGAAGTCGCTGCCTTGTCCTCGGGTCGATCTGGGATTGCAGGTTGTACAGGAATAATCTCTGGGACCTGATCAACATGCACTCGCTGCTCAGGAGTGCAGGCGGCGAGAGTCTTTGCTCCTCCCCCAGCCTGAGATGTAGCTGCAACAAGGGGAAGCAACCCTGCCTGAGCCAGAGTAGTGTACATGCTCATAAACTGTGCAAGAGTCTCCTGGAAAGCTGGAGTAGTAGTAGCAGTAGGCGTACCAGGTGCCTGGACTTCGGCTGGAACTGCTGGTGGCACCTCTATGGCAGCTCGCTGTAGACATGTGATTTTTGACCCTCCCCGAGATTTTACACTTTTTAGAGTTTAAATAGTTAGCTTAGGTCTAATATTGCTATTTTAAGCAGTTTTGACTCTTTTACTTTATTTTATCACAAAAATAAAAATTACAAAAATATTTTTTCTTTTTAGTTGCTTTTAGTTTATATATCTTTCGTAAAATTAAAAAAAAAAGAATTCAAAAATAGTACCTTATTTTTATTTTGAATATGAAATTTAAAAATACCAAAAATAATTTTATTTTAACAGTTAGTTTTATTTTAATAGTTATTTTACTTAAGTAGGATTAATTAAGTAAATGAGGTAGTATTTTTTAAATCTTATTCAAGGATAAAGAATACAATTTGGGACTCATTTTTAGGCCTAATTTTCGAACCTAGCCCATAATAATCCAAGTCCAATACCCCTAAAACCCTAGACTTAGACTTAAAAGAACCCCTAACCTAGACCTAAGCTTTAGCCGTTTTTCTGATTGAAAAAGCACACCAACCCTCGAACATCATCTTCTTGGTTCATGAAAACAAAACCAACAACCTAAGCTCCATCAACGACTAATACCCACAGACCCGTTTCCCATGAAGCCTAAGCTTCTTCTTCTTCATTGACAACTTTAAGAACCCTAGAGAATCCCTACCCAGTATCCAACCCCAATCTGTGACACACACCAGAAGAGACACGGCTAGATCTTCTTCTTCTTCGATTTTTAACAACCAACAGCAAAAGCTCTCCGGTCGCTGCTATTTCTTCATCATCCTCGCGTCTCCCAGCCATACCCCTAACCAGCGACCACCTCGATGCTGCCCGGTGAGCTCGCCGAAAACGAACCAACAACCACACCCCACTCTCTCCTGATCTCACACCAAACGACCTCATCCCCTGAACCTCCAAGTAAGCCACTCTAAGACCCCTTCCTCTCCAGAAATGGGACAATGGCGCAGATACAGTAGAGGAGGAAAGTGGACAAAAAAAGAGCTATTATGCTCTTCCTTTTTCTGCTTCTGCTGATTTTGCACATATAGCCGCTTTTATGTCCCTTTGTATTTACAAGGTGACAACTGATTTGCACAACTAGGATACTGAAATGGACTGATATGATTACTGAAATGAAGAAAATACCAGGATGTTTTGGTTTCTTTTGATTCAATATCATTTCGAAAAAACAAAATCAAAACAGAAATAGAGTTGGAGTTTTTAATAGCGGAAGTTCATTGCTTGAGCTCGTTCGGGTCTAAATCCAGGTTTGTTTGAGTTTTGCGGTGCTAATTCAAGTTCTGTCCACGTTTTGTCACATTTATGAGTTCAAAACAGTGAACAATCATATTTCTGGCTATATTGAAGTCAACTCTTTCATTCTCTATTTGTTTTATTCGAGCTTAATGTTAATTATTTGTTTGGTGATGCGATCCCGTTGTTTCTGTAATTATTCTCCGTGGTTTTGAATTTGCTTGCTCGGTTATCTGCTCGTGT